GCCAGGCCCCGTCCCCCATTCTGTATCTTTGCATTTCGTTTTTTTCTGCCTAAGTGGAGTATCTTGCATTTGTCACTGTTGAACTTCGTTTTGTTCGTTTTGGCCCATCTCTCTAATCTGTCAAGATCGTTTTTAATTCTGCTCCTGTCCTCTTGTAAAGGATCCTATGATTCTACATATCCCAATGACCCGAGGGCTGGAATATTTTGACTCCATCCACACATTGGAGGAAGTGAGCTTCCTGAAAGCTTACTCTGTTGGTTTCAAGAGCACCAGAGAACTCTTTCCTTCTCCACCCATTGAAAGAGATAAACACAGCTATCTTTTCTGAAACTGCTACAAATAATCGCATTGTAAACTGGACTGGAGGGAAAAAGCAGGAAATGGTGCTCAAAAAAGTGTCATTCAGTCGTTTCCACATTGATTTCCCAAATAATAAACATGGGAAAGGAGGTGGCCCATTGTTCCAGTCTCAGCTCATGCTTTTGCCCTGGAATACCATGACCTGCAATGATATGCATCTTGGTCTCTCCTCCATCCACACGCCTCACTGGCAAGTTACAGAGTGCCTGTTTTGCTGTGGAAATTCAACTGACGCCTGACTTTTGTGATAGCCCAGAAGACCACAATACATGCTGACATTATTTGGGGACAAAGCCATAGAGCAGGTTGTGATCCAGTAGTTGCCAAGTCTGGGCCTTGGAGCTAAATGTAATTAAACAGATGGAAGTGAACCTGTTTCTCTTTGACACTGCTGCCTTCAAGTCAATTTGTTCTCCAACACTGACCTTTCTGTTTTGGAAAATAGCAACCGTGACAGCAACGATTTAGGACTTGAGAAGAACTCAAGGGCACATTTACACTGACCCTTCATCTCAGGGTCAATTCAGAGTGTTAAATGGCCCCAAGATGGTTTTGACCACCAGCCCACCAGCAGCTATAAAGGCAGGAAAGATTCCTGACTCTCCTGTGTTGCCCGTTCAGCACCACAGGATTATTAAGGTACATGGCTAAGTTCCCATGGGATCACTACCATGTGTGTGTGAATAGGAAAAAAAATTCCCCTGAGTTCAATGGTTCGCAACCTGTGGGTCCCCAGAGTATTTTAGCCAATACTCCAGAGGACAGGAGCAGGATTCAAAACGATCTTGACAGATTAGAGAGACAGGCCAAAACTAACAAAATGAAGTTCAATAGTGACAAATGCAAGATACTCCACTTAGGCAGAAAAAATGAAATGCAAAGATACAGAATGGGGGACAATGTCTGGCTCGAGAGCAGTACGTGCGGACAACAAGTTAAACATGAGCCAACAATGTGATGTGGCGGCAAAAAAAGCCAATGGGATTTTGGCCTGCATCAATAGGAGCATAGTGTCTAGGCCTAGGGAAGTCATGCTACCCCTCTATTCTGCTTTGGTTAGACCACACCTGGAATATTGTGTCCAATTCTGGGCACCACAATTCAAGAGAGATATTGACAAGCTGGAATGTGTCCAGAGGAGGGCGACTAAAATGATCAAGGGTCTGGAGAACAAGCCCTATGATGAGCAGCTTAGGGAGCTGGGCATGTTTAGCCTGAAGAAGAGAAGGCTGAGAGGAGATATGATAGCCATGTATAAATATGTGAGAGGAAGCCACAGGGAGGAGGGAGCAAGCTTGTTTTCTGCTTCCCTGGAGACTAGGACGTAATGGAACAATGGCTTCAAACTACAAGAGAGGAGATTCCATCTGAACATGAGGAAGAACTTCCTGACTGTGAGAGCCGTTCAGCAGTGGAACTCTCTGCCCCGGAGTGTGGTGGAGGCTCCTTCTTTGGAGCTTTTAAACAGAGGCTGGATGGCCATCTGTAGTGGTGATTTGAATGCAATAATCCTGGTTCTTGGCATGGGGTTGGACTGGATGGCCCATGAGGTCTCTTCCAACTCTATGATTCTATGATTCAACTCCTAGAAATCCTAACAGCTGGAAAACTGGCTGCAATTTCTGGGAATTGTAGGCCAAAACACCCAGGGACCCACAGATTGAGAACAACTGCCCTAGTTGATTACAATCTACAGGCTGGGTAATTGAGGTAATTAAGATCAACAAGTTTTGTGCCATTCACATAACTGTGGAGAGTTTGTTGTATGTCTTTGGGCTTACTGAATATTTATCTCTGAGCTTACTGAGAGTAAGCTCCTGGCTTGCAGTCTATTTGTAGCTGGCAAGTTTGTCTTCCATGCTCGTCTCCATGAGCAAGAAATGAAGATCGGGTGAAGATATATTTTCTGATAGAAAGCATTGTATGAATTAAATGCAAGGACCATAAGTGAGTTTAATACGCCAGGGGAACTGTATTACTTGAAAGTTTGTGTTGAAGTTGCTGTTTTTTCCATGAACTCTGCTGCACAAGAGTCAAGTTTAAGTTTTGCATTTTTTCTACTTGTGTTGTTTTTTTTTCATAGAATCATAGAATCATAGAGTTGGAAGAGACCTCATGGGCCATCCAGTCCAACCCCATTCCAAGAAGCAGGAAAATCGCAATCAAAGCACCCTTGACAGATGGCCATCTAGCTTCTGCTTAAAAGACTCCAAAGTAGGAGCGTTCACTACACTCCGGGGCGAAGTTCCACTGCTGAACAGCTCTCACATTCAGAAAGTTCTTCCTCATGTTCAGGTGGAATCTCCTTTCTTGTAGTTTGAAGCCATTGTTCAGCCTCCTAGTCTCCAGGGCAGCAGAAAATAAGCTTGCTCCCTCCTCCCTATGACTTACCCTCACATATTTATGCATGGCTATCATGTCTCCCCCAACCTACTCAACTTGTATGCAGAACACATCATGTGATGTGCGGGGCTTGACGAATGCAAGGCTGGGGTAAAAATTGCTGGAAGAAACATTAACAACCTTAGATATGCAGATGACACCACTTTGATGGCCAAAAGCGAGGAGGAGCCTTCTAATCAAGGTGAAAGAAGAAAGCGCAAAAGCTGGGTTGCAGTTAAACATAAAAAAAACAAGATTATGGCAACAAGAATGATTGACAACTGGGAAATAGAGGGAGAAAATGTGGAGGCAGTGACAGACTTTGTATTTCTAGGCGCAAAGATTACTGCAGATGCAGACTGCAGCCAGGAAATCAGAAGACGCTTCCTTCTTGGGAGGAGAGCAAGGATGGAAGGGGGACAGAAAGTACATTTCCTTATCTTTGGGCTAGCCAAGTCTGAGGAATATAGGATTGCTGTCTAAACAGTTCTGTCTTGGTACTGGCCCATCATCACCATCATCATCAGCTATCACTCGTGGCTGAGTATGATTGCCTTCCAAGTGGAAGGTCTTGGAGGGATGGGTGTGTTGTTTTGTGGTGTGTGCTGGGGGAGGCATTTAATTCCATTGTGAAATAGCACAGTTATGATAACTATTCTATTCTACTCTATTTGAGTAACCAACTCAATGATTCCAGGCATGAAAGCCTCTGACAATACACATCATTGAGCTGGATGACCCTTAAGTACAATTTAATTATTTTGACTCAATGCCAGAACGAATAATGAAACCTTCCACGAGATGACAAACCAACAAACAAAGGTCCGACCTTCCCAGCGGTAAGCACAAGTTTTCTTTATTTTTCAGCCAGTCACTTATGCAGTCATGACACCATATTTACATGCACGTGACACAAAATACCATGTCAAAGATAGTTAAGAAATAACTAGGAACATGTTCTGCTTGCTTCTTCTAATAGTTCATACACAGAAGTGGAAATATTTCCAGACTAGTCTTAGAGCCCTTTTGGTTCGTGAAGGTCAATATATCTTCGCTATTACATCCCTAATAGGTTGTGTGAACTGAAATAGGTTTGGTTCTTTACATATAAAACAGAAGGGTTGTCTACACTGTAGAATTAACGCAGTTTGAAACCACTTTAACTGCCATGAGCCAATGCTATAGAATAGGCATGGGCCAACTTGGGTTGCATATTTTTTGGAAAGTCTTGGTACATTGAGACATCCTTTCTGGTTCAGTACAAAATAACGTTGTGACTGTTTACATCCATAATACAAAAAAAGTTAATGTTCTATGATGCATGTTAATATCTTCTACATTTCTAGTATCAATATTTTTGTTACCTTTTTGGTGTGGCTTTTTTCTATCCTGCATGTCTATGGAAAAATCAGACTCCCTAGACTCATACATATATGTCATAATTAACAAAATGGATTGCTAAAATAAAAGACAGTATCTAGGAACAAATACCTAATGATAGTGGCCATTTAGATTATATATTTCCTTTGCATTATGTTGTCCCTGAAATTCCAAATATTAGCTAGCAAAGTGTAGGGAAAAGGGTTGTTTTTGCATAGTTATGCCTGAGAGATTAACAAAAGCAGAGCTGTCGGGACAGGAACAGATGCGGAGTAGGAATTGTTCACTATTGGTGGATCTACACTGTAGAATGAATGCCGTTTGATACGAATTTAACTGCCGTGCTTCAATGCTATGGCGATTCTGGGATTTGCAGTTTTCCAAAATGTTTAATCTTTTCTGTCAAACAGTAATATAATAGTAATAATACGAGGGTTGAATGAAAAGTAATGCCTCCACCTTCGTAACTCCTCAACTGATGGCAGTATTGGAATGTGTCAAGTACTGACTTGTTCAGTAGACTCTCCTCTACAATTCCATTTTGGTGGGAAGCAGAAGGTCAGTCGTTGCACGTTTGATGAGTAGATCTACATCCTCATACTAGTGTTAGTTTAACGGTTTTTGTTATTGGAGCGCATACCTCCCCATAGGAAAGGTTTGCTCCACGACCTCCACTAAAACGAGCTCTCCTCTGCAAATAATCTGTCTTTGTTTATCTCGTGTTTATCTCGCCTGAATTTTTAATCTGTTTCTACCCAGTTTTCTTTTATCCATTACATGTAGCTCGCCCATGTTACTGTGATTGTGTTTATTGTTTTTATTGTAATTTTATATTGCTACGTTGTCTTTTGTTTTATGTAATTGCATTATTATTGTTTATTACTTGCGTTTTCGGTTTTGTTTTATTTCATGTAATTGTTGTTTTGGGCTTGGCCTCATGTAAGCCGCACCGAGTCCCCATCGGGGAGATGGAGCAGGGTACAAATAAAGTTTATCATATTAATATTATTAAGCAGCATGCAGTCATTGAATTTCTGACAGTGGAAGGTGTCATTCCATCAGAAAATGCAAACTGTTTATGGTGATTTGTGTTGATGTGAGTACTGTGCGTCGTTGGATGAGTAAGTTTAAAGATGTTGAGGTGGGAACATGTGACATCTGACTTGCGTGACAAACAAAGAGTTGGACGTCCTGTGACAGCAACCAGGTTGACAGATTGATTCAGGACAATCAACATATCGCTCAGAGATAAATTTCAAGCTTAATCGGCATTTCACAAGAATGTGTGGTCACATTCTTGCTTTGCTTGGCTATCGGAAACTTCAGAGACTGGATCTCACCACCATATGACATCCTCCATAAAGTCCAGATTTAGCACCATCTGATTTCCATCTGTTCCTGATAATGAACACCATTATGTTTCTGATGAAGACATTGAGAGAACTGTGAGACGCTGGTTGCGGGAAAAGAGTGTTGACTTCTTTAGTGTCTGCTTCAAAAAACTTGTTCATGTTGGCAGAAATGTATCCAATTGTCTGGTGATTATGTGGAAAAGTGAATAGTGGTAGTTAAAGAGCACATTCCTAGGATTATTTCTGCGTTTGATTTATTAAAATATTCCCATCCAAACTCAAGTAACGAAGGTGGAGGCATTACTTTTCATTCAACCCTCATATTTATACTCCAGAAAATTAAAAGCCTTCATTCTGCAATGCAGATGCATCCTTAATTTCTTCTTGAAGCTGGCAGTGGACAATTTCAGCAATTTCCTTCCAGCTGCAAGAATGTCTATGCTAACCACATAATATTCTAAGGCTATTTGCAACTTGGGATTTATTCTGCACACAATTCACATGTGGCTATTTTGCATAGAAAGCAGCATTTTCTGCACAGGAAAACAGCCTTTTTCTGCTTGAAGAATAATATTTCAGTGCAGAAATGTTCATTTCAGTATATAAAATAATGTTTTCTGTGCAAATTAAACATTTCCGAATTTTGTGTTGGATCCGATATGGCGCCAATAGGGGCTGCGTAAAGAAACTTCTTGGTCTGTTTTTACTTTTTATCAACCATTTTAATGACTACTAATCATCGTTTTATCAGCTACTATTTTAAATTGGTTTAAATTGTAGCCGAGGAAGAAGTTAATTGGATCAGGAGAAGAACTTGGAGAACTAATTTGTGTGCTGAATTTTGTGCAGAATAAGTCTTCAATTACAAAAAAATTGGAAGTAATAATTCTGCATTGAAATATCATATTCCCTACAGAAAACATTGTCCAGTATGCAGAAAATGCTGAGTTTTGTACAAAACCACCACATGCAAATTTTGCGCGGGATAAGTACTGAAGTACGAAGATGTTTCCATGGTCTTTTTCTTTTATAGAATTTGGACCTCAGATTGAAACTCAAGACCTTTTCTCCACCGGCTCCTCGGCTCAATACTCATTTCCGACTCCAATTAGGCCGCTCACAGGGACATTATCCTTCTGTGCTTATCTGTTTTAGGAAAAGACACATCCTTTGAATACAAATATTGACAACTGAAATGCTATAAATTCGTAACTCACATTTACTGAAAAATAAAATCATTTTTACCCCTCCCATTTTGCAACAGATGTAGAAGTTGAGAAAGAACAGGAGAAAGAAATATGGAAAGAAAACTCTAATGAATTATAAAAACATTTGGAAGAACTGCTTGTTGTTTACAAAGAGTCTATAATACTGATATTTTCTCTTTTTTAAAAAAAACCCTTCAGAAATTGGTTTTTTTTTTCATTATCTTCCTGTTTTGATTCTCCTTTATTTTGGTTTCATCTCCACTCTGGAGTCATCTGCATCGAGGTCATATTCTTCTACCTGGCCGCTGGTCCAGACTTTCATCCGGTCGGTGACATCGCTGCTCCTGGGAGCCAGGATGAAGTCGTAGATGAGGGCAGCACTGGCTCCACCAAGTAATGGACCAACCCAGAAGATCTGAAATGAGAAATCAAAGGTTCAGTGCATTTGATAATAATAATAATAAATAATAAAACTTTATTTATTAGGCTTGGGCAATCAAGAAAAAAATGGTTCTGTAACAGCTGTCTTTTCTATAAGACATATACTTTAAGCCCAGCAGGAAGCCAGAGGGCCTCAAAGAGAGATTCTCAGGGATTTTTCTGAAGTAATGGTCTTTAGAGTCTTTAATGATACAACAAAGTCTTTATTATGGAACAAACAACAAATCTTCAATGGTTCAAACAACACGTCAAGGCTTTCTTAGTCTAGTCCTCAATGGACTGGTACCTGACTTAGATTAACTGTACTTTCTCTGTAAGAACAAACCCTATTTAACTTCTCCCAGGCTGTTTACTATCTATGCCTCATCAGTGTGAGTCCTACTACCGATTCCAAATGCGTCTGGGTATCGAGTAGATCTACCAGCCGAGGCTTGAAGATATTTCAGCTGGAGTTCAGTGGATCTATAGTGCTGTCCTCCCTCTGAGAATTCTTTGAAACTTCAGGGCTGTTTTCCCTCTGATTGCTGTGAGGCTGAGAGGCTGTGAGCTCTCAGCCAGAGCTTTGGGACCTTTTCCCTGGAATTTCTGTTTCTGTTTCCCTGGACGTTCTTGAGAAAAGAAGCTTTTCTATGGGACGAGCTGGTCTACATCCTATAGTTTAACTTCCTTATGTGAGACTGACCAAAAATAGCTCTTTTCCCTCCCAGAGCCCTGAACAAGGGGCGGAACCAAAGCTTAATTATGATGTACAGGAGGCCTGCCCTATGACTGCAAACAGATAACAGAAAGAAAATAAAGTTGGAGCTCCTGGAACAGCTGTACCAGCACAGGTTCTAAACTCGTTTCGTATATAGGGGGCGCTGGCGATTCGATTTTAAAATGATTTCTGAAATTTTCTTGAAAAAAAGGTTGGAAATAGCAGGAAATCCGAATCGCTTCATTTGCTTTGTTAATGGAAGGTGCCCCTCCCTTCCTCCAGAACCATTAAGTAACTTTGACAAAGTCAGCCTAAACAAACAGTTTTAAAATCTCGCAGTTTCCCTTCCCTGTTAGTTTTAAAATCTCGTGGTTTCCCTTCCCTGGTGGCGAGCTTCCATGCAGAGGGACGAGGTGGGCATGGCTAAGCACAGCTCTTCTTGAAGGTCGTTGGGGGCATGGCCTTCAGGAAGAGCTGTTCTTAGCCACACTCACCTCATCCCTCTGCATCGCCGCCAGGGAAGGGAAACTGCGAGATTTTAAGTAGTTTTAAAATCCCACAGTTTCCCTTCCCTGGTGGTGATGAAGAGGGATTAGGTGGGCCTGGTTAAGTGACAGCTCTTCCTGAAGGCCACTGGGGCGTGGCCTTCAGGAAGAGTTGTTCTTAGCCACGCCCACCTCGTCCCTCTTCAGCGCCGTGTTCACCACCAACCAGGGAAGGGAAACCACGAGATTTAAAAACTAACAGGGAAGGGAAGCTGTGAGATTTTAAAACATGGCCTTCAAGAATGGGAACCGTGAGGCTTTGCCAAAGTTGCTTAATTGTTCTAAAAATAAAACTAACTGTGGGAGACATCCGAAAATTATTCCAAACAATGGTTTAAATTCAGAATTAGTCCTCCTACTATTCCTGCATGGCTCGAAATTGGTTCAAAAGGTAATTTTTTCTGAAATAATAACGATTTAAGAAAATAACGACTGTACCTACCCATGCCTATTATTTATATACTGCTGCATCTCCCCGAGGGGACTCAGAGCAGTTTCCAAGTAACATCATCAATACATAAGGAATAAACAACATAACCATAAGATTAACAAAGCAATATAAGCATAAAAATTGTCGCCATAACACATATATATTAAAAATAATCCTTCCTGTTCAAGGCAATTTAAAAGGCCGAGATTAGTGCAAACTCAAAAATTCTAGGGGGTCCAGGAATTAAGTGCAGTGCTTTAGCAGGCAACAACAATATTAGGTACAGGTCTATGGCTGTTCATTTTCGGGGCCTATCAGAGGAAGTGACCTGGGTAATTGATAGGAAAAATAAGGCCATATTCAACAATGTCTAGGGCTCAGCTGGAACTAGTCATTCTCAAAGGCTTGTTGAAACCACCAGGTCTTCAAGCTCTTACGAAAGGAGGGGAGGGATGGGGCCTGTCTAATTTCCCTGGGGAGGCCATTCCAGAGGTGGAGGGCCACCACTGAGAAGGTCCTCTCTCTTGTTTCCACCAACTGTGCTTGTGACGGTGGTGGGAGCAAGAGGAGGGACTCCCTGGAAGATCTTAGAGTTTGCACCGGTTCATAGAAGGAGATGTCATCATAGAGATAGGTGGGGCCCAAACTGTTTAGGGCAGTGGTTCTCAACCTTGGGTCCCCAGAGGTTTTTGGCCTACAACTCCCAGAAATCCCAGCCAGTTTACCAGCTGTTAGGATTTCTGGGAGTTGAAGACCAAAAACATCTGGGGACCCCAGGTTGCGAACCACTGGTTTAGGGTTGTATAGGTCATGACCTGCACCTTGAATTTGGCTCGGCAATTTATCGGCACCAATGAAGCTGTTTTAATAGGGGTGTTGTATGCTTCCTATAGTTTGCTCCAGTAAAGAGCCTGGGTGCTGCCCGTTGTACCAGTTGAAACTTCTGGGCAGTCTTCAAGGGCAGCCCCACATAGAGCACATTGCAATAATCCAGTTTGGATGTAAACAAGGCGTTGATAGAGCTGTCAATGGATACAGCAGTCATGGGCAAACTTAGGTTCTCCGGGTGTTTTGGACTTCAACTCCCACTAGTCCTAACATTCCCCCCCCCACCCCCATAATATCTCTTCTAGGAGTGAATTTCTCTTCTGAGAGGTAGATTTCTCTCATTTCCTGGTATCTCACCCCTGTTCCTAACTATGAGTCATTTGTAAGTTGAATGCTTGTAACTCAGGGACTGCCTGTAATTACAAATTGTTTGGCCTGAAGGAAGGAAAAAATGTCAAAATTAACTAATAAAATACATTGTGAGAGGAATTGTGAAAAAGAAATCAAGTGTGTATTCTGTGCTAGGCATAGCGGCGTCACACTCTTGCTATTTGTATGCAAACATGGCTTCAGTTTTACAGCAGTGTGTGGCCCAAGACAATTCACCTTCCTACATGGCCCAGGGGAGCCAAAAGATTGAATACGCATAACTTAGTGACTGGACCACAGTTAGAAAATTGAATCAGTTGAAAAGCGGAGCTCAGTTTTTGATTTAGCTTGCAACTGCAAGACTAAACACTAGATGGTGCCAATTCAACTGAGAGAGAGGAACCCCCCTGTGCCAAAAAAGCAGCAGCAGGGGTCAAAAAAGCAAAGCAAGGTGCAAAATATGTAGATCATAGCTATGATATAGATCTGTCAAAACAACCAAACTTCCAAAAAAAAGTTGATTAAAATCAGGGGATGCCTGTAACACTCTATCCATTTATGGATGAACTAGTTGCAACATATAAGAAGTGGCCAAAAGAAGATCTGAATGAGAGGCACAATTTGGACTACCGGCTGTTAGGAATTGTGGGAGTTGAAGTCCAAAACACCTGGAGGGCCCAAGTTTGCTCATGCCTTAGTGAAAACATTTTTTTTTCAAAGATTAAACAAATCAATCGAAATATTAGCTGGAAACGGTAATCACAGTTATGACCAGTAGTAATGCACTCAATCTCAAGTTATCAGGCAGCAGACTGACAATAATGGTGCAGTCGGTGGAGCCACTGTACAATTTATTCTCCTGGATGCAAAGCGCCAGCATGATCTCACCATGTCCCTCCAGGGTCTTTTAGCACTCTATATATGGTGCAGGTGTCTATCACCTCATTGTTTTGTCTGAAGAGCTGCTGGAGAGTAAGTCCCTAATTGAGTAGATGCACAAGCACCAGGCGGGCCCCACAAAGGTGCCTTTCCACTTGAAGATCTGCTGGGGGTCGTATGAGAACAGGATCCCCATGTTCAGCCAAGCATTTTTATGAAACAACTCGTCATTGAGCATGGTGATGTCTGAATGTATTCTCGAAGGCTTTCATGGCCGGAATCATTGGGTGGTTGTGAGTTTTTAGGGCTGTATGGCCATGTTCCTGAAGCATTATCTCCTAATGTTTCACCTGCATCTATGGCAGGCATCCTTGGAGGATATGAGGTCTGTTGGAAACTAGGAAAATTGGGTTTATATATCTGTGGAATAACGTCCAGGGTGGGAGAAAGAACTCTTGTCTGTTTGAGGTAGGTGTGAATGCTTCAATCGGCCACTTTGATTAGCATTAATGGCCTAGCAGTTTTTAAGGTTTGGCTTCTTACTGCCTGGGGGAATCCTTTGTTGGGAGGTAATTAGCTGTTCTTGATAGTTTCTTGTCTGGAGTTCCCCTGTTTTTGCATGTTGTTCTTCATTTACTGTTATGATTTTGGAGTTTTTTTTAATACTGGTAGCCAGATTTTGTTCATTTTCATGGTTTCTTCCTTTCACATGCTTGTGAATTATCCACATGCTTGTGAATTTCAATGGCTTCTCTGTGTAATCTGACATGGTAGCTGTTACAGCGGTCCAGCATTTCTGTATTCTCAAATAATATTCTGTGTCCAGGTTGGTTCTCTGGAACTTCATCAGGCCTGCACTCAGCTTGCTCTGGTTCTCATCCAGGAATTTGAACTTCAGCTTCAGCTCCAGGTTCTTCTCCAGTTGGTCGATCTTCTCAGAGAGCTTGCCCAGCATGGATCATAGCAAGGTGATCTCCTGGTCCTTCTGTGTTGTAGTTCAGCCAGCTGATGATGATGATGTCGGATTTGGTGGGTGCAGGACCTGATGATTCTGCAGGTGCTCAGACAGAGGGGATGTTGGAACAGGATGGTGTTTCTCCAGTTGAAAGAACGGAGGGGGATTTGCAAATAGATTATGCTTCTCTGTGTGAAAATGAAACTGCTTTGGAAGCTGACAGGCAGAGAAGGGAGGACATGAGTTCACCCAATGAAGGGAAGTTAGGCAGAGAATCAAGGCTGTGGGGGAAGAAATCCAGGTGCAAGCTAAGTCGTGGGAAAGAGAGGTCGAGACAGGCTTCTCAAGGCCAACGGAATGCCTTCATGCACTGTTGTCCTAAATTATGGAAAGGAAGCTGTTAGGTTTCAGATCAAGGAAAGTCGCCAATGGAGTGAGAAACTCCTGCCTTGTTCCTGGTCATGTAATAGATTCAAGCCAAGTTACCTAGTCAAGTTTCGCTACCAGTCTTGGGGGTTTTACTCATGAATTCAAGCTCATGTTTTGTTCCTTGTGTCTTGGATTAATGTCCATGCTTTAACCTCTGCGTTGGAGATTTATCTTTGGCTTTTTGGGATTTCTTCATATATTTGGATTTTTACTCTTTTACTGTGTGTTTTATCAATAAACTCTTCATTACTACATGTGGCTTCCTGGGGAGTGATTGAGCAAGGTGAATTCCTGCTGAGGTGCAACATTCTGGGCCATGGACACCTGTATCTTGTGGAAGCAGTTGTCCTTCTGCTGCAGGAACTCCTTCAGGCCCTCAAATTTACACATCTCCAGGTGGGTCTCATAGGTGTCCTGGTTCCAGATGAAAGTACACCCATATTTAGAATGGAGACACTTGATGTGTTCGCACTCCTTCAGGTCAGCAGACCGACATTTCCAGCCTACTTCCATGAATGATCTCCAAAAACACAGTTGCAAGCAGGAGGACAAACAATTCTTTCTCATAGTAGAGATCAAGGGTTGGAGTTGGATGGAAATGTCTACCTGCTGAATCCCTGTTGCAGAACAAGCTCACCTGTTGCTTACAGTGTTTGCTGCCTGGTACACACAGATGAGGAGAGTCAAGCTAAGAGACTCCATTTAGCTATGCAATTTAGTTATATAACTAAGCAGTGCATGCAAAACAGATAAAAACACTTTGAAGCATTATATATTAAAAACAGCACATGCATAAGATATCCTTCTACCCCAATAAGGCCAGAAATCTGCTTAAATCAGAAGGTCTTTGGGGAATACGTTGTTCCCATTCTGATTAACAATGACCTAAATCCCATTGTTAGTCGACGCTAGACTGGACCCAGTAGAGTTAATTAAACCTATGTGGTTCATCTCATGGGTTTTCTGTAATCAGGATGAACAGCTCCAAATTCATTCCAATTGAGACTGAGGATTTTGCCCAACCTGTCCATTTCAGTGTCAGGGTTTCAGACCTACCCAGTGTTGGCCGAACTTGCCAGTGACCACAGCTGATCCAAAAGATCTGGCAGGGTTAATTCCACAGCCGGTGTAGTCAATCTATGGGAGGCAAAAAGAATGAGAATTAGTGGGGATAGAAAGGTTGCAGGTTTGAATCCGGGGAGCAGCATGAGCTACCGCTGTCAGCCCCAGCTTCTGTCAACCTAACAGTTTGAAAACATGCAAATGTGAGTAGATCAATAAGTATCACTTCGGTGAGAAGCTAACAGCACTCCATGGAGTCATGCCGGCCACATGACCTTGGAGGTGTCTATGGACAACGTCGGCTCTTCAGCTTAGAAATAGAGATGAGCACCAACCCCCAGAGTTGGACACGCTGGACTTAATGTCAGGGTAAAACTTTACCTTTACCTAAGGATGATTTTCCTCAAGAAAAATGAGGAACACTTCATTCATACTTGCAAATTGATTGTTAGCTAATATCTTGAAGAGAAGTGCAGAAAATTATATTATTGTTATATTATTTATTGGCACAATTGAGGGGTTTGTTTTGTTTTTTTCATGTCAGGATTGACTTGAGAAACTGTCGCTTCTGGTGTGAGAGAACTTGCCATCTGCAAGGACGTTGCCCAGGGGATGCCCTGATGTTTTGATGTTTTTACCATCCTTGTGGGAGGCTTTTCTCATGCCCCTACATGGGGAGCTGGAGCTGACAGAGGGAGCTCAACCCACTCTCCCCAGATTCGAACTGTTGACCTGTCAGTCAGCAATCCTGCTGGTACAAGAGTTTAACCCATTGCAAGACTGGGGACAATATGAGTGGATAAATAGGTACAGCTCTAAGCGGGGAAGTAGTAAAAGGTGGAATGTCCAGGGTAGGAGAAAGAACTCTTGTCTGTTTGAGGTAGATCTGAATGTAGCTCTAAAATCATAACAGTAAATCAAAAACAACACTCAAAAACAGGGGAATTCCAGACAAGAAATAATCAGGGCCAGCTAATCACCTCCCAACAAATGATTTCCCCAGGCAGTAAGAAACGAGACCTTGAAAACTGCTAGGCCATTAAATGCTAATCAAGGTGGACAATTGGTACATTCACACCTTCCTCCAACAGACAAGAGTTCTTTCTCCCACCCTGGACATTCCACAGATATATAAACCCTATTTTCCTAGTTTCCAACAGACTTACAACCTCTGATGATGCCTGCCATGGGTGCAGGTGAAACGTCAGGAGAGAATGCTTCTGGAACATGGCCATATGGCCCGGAAAACACACAATAACCCGATGATGATGATGATGATGATGATGGTGGTGGTGGTGGTGGTGATGATGATGATAACAACAACAATTAACATTGACAAAATCATGATCTGTCAACTGCAAAAGGCCACCTTACTTGGATCTGCCCGCATCATTCGAAAATACATCACAGTCCTCGACGCTTGGGAAATGTCCGACTTGTGATTTTGTGATGCAAAAACCAGCATATAGATCCTGTTTGCTGTGACATACTGTGGTTTTGTGTCAGTAAAATAATAGTAGTAACAACAACAACAACTTATTTATAGTCTGCCCTTCTCCCCTCAGGGAGAACGGAGTGGATTACAGCATATAAACAGAGAAAAGCAAACATTCAGTGCTGTGTTACAGTGAAATGCAATGAGACACACAAACAAAGACAAAGGCTTCTCCTTTCATTTCCTGCTCTTGGGGAGGTGCTGATTTCCATTTCCCCGCTGAGGAGTCTGCGTTGTCCGTAGACACCTCCCAATCATGTGGCCAGCATGACTGCGTGGAGTTACTTTTTGCCTTTCCTGATGAGGTGGTACCTATTGATTTACTCACATTTGCATGTTTTCAAACTGCCAGGTTGGCAGGAACTAGGGCTAAGAGCAGGACCTCATCCCGACCTGTGGATTCGAACTACCAACCTTCAGGTCAGGTCAGGAAATGGAGATGAGCACCTTCCCCAGAGATGGAGATGAGCACAGCCTCCAGAGCCAGAAATGAAAGGAGAAGCCTTTGCCTTTGTCTGTGTATTTGCGTTTCATTGCATTTCACTGTAACAAGGCATTGAATGTTTGCCTGTGTCTGTTTATATGCTATAATCTGCTCTGAGTCCCCTTGGGGAGAAAGGCAGAATATAAATTTGTTGTTGTTGTTGTTGTTGTTGTTGTTGTTGTTTTTGTATGGGCCACATTTTATTCCTGCTTTGTCTGGAGCTCTGTCTATCTTTTAACTTTCATAATATGGGAAAGTGTGTCTTGGTCTCCCAGGCAGAGTCTATACTTACTGCAAGAAGATGCCCCAGGGCTACAGAAAGTCCAATGGCCAGTGGGGCCGATCCGGAGACGTCGGTCCTCCTCCTGTCCGTTGTGGCCAAAACACAGAGAACCAGTTGTAGGGTGGCAATGATCTCAATGCCAAGGCCTTGTCCTGAATTAATTCCTTCCGCCAGCTGGAGAAAAAGAGACAAAGACATGGTAAGTCATTTCCTTCTGCAACAACCAAGCAAAAGAGGATCTCACAAATTCCAACATGATCCATAGATGTTTGTTTTAGGGTGAACTAAATGATCAAATGTCTGCAAGTCAAACCCTTTGAAGAGCAGTGTATGTATGGCTTGGAGAAGGGAGGGAACATGAAGATATATTGAAGAAGGGCCAGGTTTGTGTTCAACTTCAGCTCTCCCTCCAGGTGCTTTGAACTTCAACTCCCACAATTCCTAACAGCCAGTAGGCCATTAAGAATTGTGGGAGTTGAAGTCCAAAACACCTAGAGGGCAGCCGAAATTTGCCCATGCTTACTCTAGAGCAGTGGTTCCCAACCTGTGGGTCCCCAGGTGTTTTAGCCTACAACTCCCGGGAATCCCAGCCAGTTTACCAGCTATTAGGATTTCTGGGAGTTGAAAGCCAAAACATCTGGAGACCCACAAGTTGAGAACCACTCCTTAGAGGCTAGGACATGGAACAATGTATTCAAATTGTAGTAAAATAGATGCCATCACTAAGAACTTACTGATGGATAGAGCTGTTCAGTAGTGCAATGTGTTGCCTTGGGATGTGGTGGAGTGTCCTACTTTGGAAGCTTTTAAAGACAGACTGAATGGCCATCTGTTGGGAGTGCTGGGATTGTAGATTCCTGCATAGCAGAATGGGGTTGGACTAGATGTCCCTAGTAGTCTTTTCCTACACTATGGTTGCTTTGAGTTTTTCAGGCTGCATGGCCATGTTACAGTAGCATTCTCTCCTGACATTTCACCTGTATCTGTGGCTGGCATCTTCAGAGGTTCTGTTGGCAGTGAATCAATTATTGTGTGTGTGTGTGTGTGTGTGTGTGTGGGGCCACCTGGTGACACAGCAGGTTAAACCACTGAGCTGCTGAACTTTCTGACCAAAAGGTTGATGGTTCAAATCTAGGGAACGGGGTGAGATCCCGCTGTAAGCCCCAGCTTCTGCCAACCTGTGTATATATCTGTGGAATGTCCACTAGATGACTCTAGTAGTCTTTTCCTACACTATGGTTCTATGCTTCAATTATTTTAAAGGATTACATCATATATCAGGTTACTTTGAGTTTTTCAGGCTGTATGGCCATGTTATAGTAGCATTTTCTCCTGAAATTTCATTTGCATCTGTGGTTGGCATCTTCAGAAGTTCTGTTTGCAGTGAAGCAAGTTGTGTGTGTATGTGTGTGTGTGCGTATAGGGCCCCCTGGTGGCACAGTAGGCTAAACCACTGAGCTGCTGAACTTTCTGACCAAAAGGTTGACAGTTCAAATCTAGGGAATGGGGTGAGCTCCCACTGTAAGCCCCAGCTTCTGTCAACCTGTGTATATATCTGTGGAATGTCCACAAGGGGAGAAATACATCTTTGGACATTCCACAGATAGATAGATAGATAGATAGATAGATAGATAGATAGATAGATAGATAGATAGATATAGATAGATAGATAGATAGATAGATAAAGATAAAAGTTTCCCCTGACATTAAGTCTAGTGATGTCCAACTCTGGGGGTTGGTGCTCATCTCCATTTCTAAGCCAAAGAGCTGGTGTTGTCCATAGACACCTCCAAGGTCATATGGCCAGCATGACTGCATGGAGCACCGTTACTTTCCCGCAGAAGCAGTGCCTATTAATCTACTCATATTTGCATGTTTTCAAACTGCTCGGTTGGCAGAAGCTTGGGCTAACAGTGGGGGTCACCCCACTCCGCGGATTCAAACTGCTTTTGCTCAGTAAGTTCAGCACCTCAGTGGTTTAACCCGCTATACGACCAGGGTGCCCTACACATACACACACAAATACACTCTACTTTCTTCACTGACAACAGGACCTCTGAAGATGCCATTAGCCACAGATGCAGGTGAAACGCCAGGAGATAATGTTGCTGGAACATGGCCATACAGCCCAAAAAACCCATAACAACCCAGTGATTCCAGCCATGAAAGCCTTCAACAACACATCATGTATTAATTAATATTCAATTTTATTTGTATTAGGACCTCCAAATGAAAAAAAATAAAATGAAAATTTTCAATTGTTGCACTGTAGGATTATAGAAACAAGGCAGTGCAAAATTTGCTCTGCTTTTGGTGCAGGAAACAGTGTTTTCTGCACAAGAAAAAAAGAATTTTTTGCATAGAAAATGCTATTTTCTGTGCTGAAAAAAAAGAATATTCTCATTAGTCCTGCATTCCTCTTATCAAGGTTTTCTGACATTCAAGGGATATAACCATACTTATAATAATATTGAAACATTCACATCTAGCTCCAGCAGACAAGAGTCCTTTGTCCCACCTTGGTCTTTCCACAGATATATAAACCCATTTTCCTAGTTCCAACAGACCTCACTACCTCAGAGGATGCTTGCCATAGATGCAGGCGAAACGTCAGGGGAAAATGCCTCTAGAACATGGCCATATAGCCAAAAAAAAAAACCCTACAACAACCCACTATAATAATATTCTTTGTGCTCTTATTAATTGCGTCCCAATGAAGATTATATGTGACCATTTCTTCCTTCCCCAAAAGAGAAAGCCAAAGAAGCCTATGATCTCAGCTATCTGAAAAAACATCCCCAACCAAATATGTTTGCTGAGAACACAAAATCACGAATTGGGCCATCCAGAAAGGAATCACTAGTGCCTTGTCTTGCACCAATACATTGCACCAGAAAAAAAGAAAGAAAACGTGTTAATTGGAACCAGAAGTTTGTTTACAAGTGTAAGAAAGGTCGCCTGTATCTAAAAGGATTAAAAAAGGGGCTGTAAGGCTCTAACCTTCATTTTCTACACCAAAGAAATGAGGGAAACCTTAAACATTCTGGTCACGCCGAGCCATTCCTCAGAAGTACTCAGAAAAAGGGGGCTTACAGTCAGGAATGATTGATAGATGAATGAATGGACACATACACAAACACGTACAACTTTTCTTCATGCTTTTCAGTGCCATGAACTGCTACTAAGAGAAAACTATGATCGTCCTCCACTTTTGGTACACTCTGTTCTACCCTTTGATCATTTTAGTCGCCTTCCTCTGGACACATTCCAGCTTGTCAATATCTCTCTTGAATTGTGGTGCCCAGAATTGGACACAATATTCCAGGTGTGGTCTAACCAAAGCAGAATAGAGGGGTAGCATGACTTCCCTAGATATAGATATGCCCAAATGTGAACACTGGTGGAGTTTGGGCAAAATAGACTTGACATTTGAGAGTTGTAGTTGCTGGGATTTATAGTTCACCTACAATCAAAGAGCATTCTGAACCCCACCAACGATAGATTTAGGTCAAACAACCCACACAGAACCCCCATGACTTAGAGAAAATATTATGTTTTCTGATGGCCTTTGGTGACCACTCTGACACCCCTTCATCACCCCCCAGGGGCCCCAACTTCCAGGTTAAACACTGGACCATATAATGGAGATTCAAACTGTATTAAATGGCAGTGTAGATCCAGCCTTCAATACTCAAAATGCATACAAAAGATGGATAGAATGCCTCAGGGAAAAGCTGACCTAGATTGCAACAAATGAAAAGAAGGAGGCTTTCCTATTTCCTAAGAGATGCTCTTCATTAAAAATAAAAAGTCACTGATGTTATGCACAGAAAACAAGCGCACGAGGGAGATGGCCAAGTTATTGCCTTCTCTCTTTGATGCTGTGTTTGTGCATTGGTTTTAACAAGGAAGAGGATTTATCAGGGTACATCCGCACTGTGGAATTAATGCAGTTTGACATTTTAATGCAGTTTGACAATCTTTAAAACTGCCCTGAATCAGTGCAATGGAATCCTTAGAATTGTGGTTTGGAGAGGCATCAGCCCTCTTTGGCATAGAAGGCAAAAGCCCTTGCAAAACCAAAGCTCACGTAATTACATAGTGTGAAGCCATAATGCAGTGTTTCTCAACCTGGGACCCCTGGGGGGGTCGCAAGGGGGTTTGTGCGCCAGCTGCGCCCGTACCTTGGGAAGTCTGACTTGGCCACGGTGGTCCACGCTTTGGTTACATCCCGTTTAGACTACTGCAACGCTCTCTACGTGGGGTTGCCTCTGAAGACTGCCCGGAAGCTGCAGCTAGTCCAACGCTCGGCAGCCAGACTACTAACAAGTGCTGGGTACAGGGAGCACACCACTCCGCTGTTACACCAGCTCCACTGGCTGCCAATTAGCTTCCGAGCACAATTCAAAGTGCTGGTGTTAACCTATAAAGCCCTAAACGACTCGGCCCTGTTTACCTCTCCGAACGTATTCTCCCCTATGAACCATCAAGATTATTAAGATCGTCTGGAGAGGCCCTGCTCTCGGTCCCACCGGCCTCGCAAGCGAGTCTGGTGGGGACGAGGGACAGGGCCTTCTCGGTGGTGGCCCTCAACTCTGGAACTCTCTCCCACTGGAGATCAGAACCGCCCCTTCTATCCTGACATTTAGGAAACAGGTGAAGACTTGGTTATGGAGACAGGCATTCGACGAGTGAGCCAACACCCTGAGATATGGATGGAGGATGATGAGCAACGATTTTAGTGTGACGACTGACCATTACAGTTATTGATTGTAATTGCTGTTTTAATGTTTTACTGTAATATGTATTATGATGTTTTATTGATTGTATGTGATATTATGGTTGGAAACCGGTCTGAGTCCCTCAAGAGAGGTGAGAAGGTTGGTACACAAAACTTTTAAATAAATAAATAAATAATTTCAGAGGGTCACCAAGGACCATTAGAAAGCATATATTTCTGATGATCTTAGGAACCTCTTTGGCAGAAAAGGCTGAAGATCCCTCTGCCTGTCCTTCTCTTCCTTTTTTGTAAACAGATGGTGAATCCTCCAACCAAAAGCCCTCCTCCGCTGTGATTGGCCAGCCTCTCAGCTGGCCTCTCAGCCAAGGGGAGGGCTGTTCCTGAGACTCCAAGTGGGGAGGGAATGCTTTTGATTGTAAGTGAACTATAAATC